TTTTTTACATCTACCGTACATAAAAAATTTTTTATTTATATTTTTATTTATTTATTTATTTATATATTTTTTCAAATTTTAGTCCCTATGCTGCAATCCAAGTCAAAAGGAAAAACATATTTAAAGATTAAACCTAAATTAATCAGCTTTTGCAAAAGCTTTGCGAAGCTTTAATTCAAATTGCAATTTAGGCCTTTTTCGCTGTAGATAACTGTAAAGAACTGTGAAGCTCTGGCAGCTTTTAAAAAACATAAAAAATACTTTCACTTGCGCTTTTTAATGTCCATGAAAATCTGTTGAAATGTTGGGGAGAGCAGCAAAAGCGAAAACCTTCAACTCTCTGGCCATTGTTCTAATGCATGTCGCCAATTTGTGCGCTGTCGTTGCGAAATCCACTCAAAGGCCATAAAAAACCAGCGTGCCGAATTCGTGTTGAGCTCGACGAGCTTTGACGTCGGCCAGAGATGGAAATGGGGGCGCCAGGCGCTGGAGAAGGAGAAGGCGAAGGCGAAGGCGAAGGAGTTTGCTGCGGAAGCGAAGCGGTGCGGTAGAGGCGGCCCATTAAAAAGATGCCAACAAGGCAATTGTCAAATGTAAATGGGCTAGCGTAATAGATGTCCACGAAAGGACTCTCGCACTCGGCACGAAACGCAATAATTTGCAAATTTGCTCAAATAAATTCCCATGCAGAGCGCCCAAGTGCGAGAGCCTAAAATATTCGCCCAAGCCAGGCCAGTGGGCAAAATGTATGCAAAGTCCCCAATGGGGCTGGCTACAGCACAGAGCCCAACGTCCAACGATTTTTCTAAGGCACTGTCGCCAGCCGGCAGCCGCTGCTCGCCGTGCTCTGGCCCCGGCTTTGGTGTCGGTGATATGCAAAACATTTGTAAGGCTCGGTCCAGGCGCAACGCCCACTAAGCCCGTCAGAGATAAGCGCCAATTGTAGCCAATTGAAGGCGGCACAGCGTGGCATAAATAAATAAATAATCGATTGCAGTGGCAGTCAGCAGACAGCTGAGCACAGACAGCAGCGGGCAGCAGCAGCGGGCAGAGCAGTCAGCAGGAGCAGCAGCAGCAGCGAGTGGCATTCCGGGGCTTGTCTAGCACTGTTTGCTGCTGGCTCTGGCAATTAATTGGCCATTTGTTTGGGGCGTCGATATTCGCAGCCCAGCTTCAGGTTCGGCTCCTGCGGCGCGCCCTCTCACTCTCTCCGTCTCAGTCTCATTCCCATGCTCATTCTCACACTCGTTCTCCCGCTCCCTCCCTCTCTCTCTCTCTCACTCTCTCAACTCTCTTGCTTTGCTGCAGTCACGCACGTCGCTCGGTTCACGCACGCGACACTTGACAGGCGCTACAAAGGCGCCAAATCCCCAATACGCTGATGAGAATGAATGAGCTGTGCTCGCACCCTCTCTCTCCCTCCCTTTGCTGCCCCCTGCTGCCCCCTCCTAACCAGCCCTCTGCAGTTACATATGTACTATCGCCGCATATCTATCTGGCTCTGACTGTTGCCATTTGTTGGCCCCAAGCATTGACCAACTTTAAAGCCAGCCAACCTGTCCACTGCAGCCAGCTGGCTGTAGCCATTGACTTAGACGCTCTCCGTGTCTGTGTATTGGTGAGCTTTCACACGCTTAAACACTTATGTGTGTGTGTGTGTGTGTGTGTTGTGTTGAGTCGGTTTGCTCAGCAATGTTTTACCTGTAATTGTAATTGTGCAACTATTTGTGACGTCAGCTCTGGGGAGATATTTGAGCGATTTACTTGAATAACATTTCAAGCGATTTGAAATCATTGATAGATGCAGTTCTCTTAAAGTAATTCAGTTATTGAGACTGGTGAGCCATGGAATTCCAGGTTAGCTTTATAAGAGCAATGATGATAATAATGGGAATAGCAATATTAATGAAAGCACTCATATCTATTTAGCGGAGGTACGAACCTTCACTAGCTATTCAGATGTGCTTCGAGAACTAAGTCAACATATTATTAGAAAAGGAGAGAGGCTCTCACGAGGCGAGAAATAAAGTTTTATAATAAATACCTTTGCGTGCAGGTGGACGGATTGACGGATGAATGAGCGCACGGACGGATGAGCACAGGCGGATAGAAATGAATACATCGTATACCACTGCAATAAAGGAGGTTTCGATAGACATGACTATATGGACTAAGTACATGTATATGTCGGAGATAATAGTATTATTTGAATAGAATATCTTATCGATATATCGGTTCAAGCATAGTATTGGGTAATGTTGATTGAGTGAGATGTTAGTTAACACTAATATCGAGTGTGGGGCTGACGAGATTGCCAGTTGGTTACGATGGATGTAATCGAACGTGCTAGTGAAAATAGGACAGTTGATTAGCAAGAGGAAGAAGGGCAACAGTGCACGAACATGCTGCACTCCACAAAATTATCTAATCTGCAGAAATATCCGACATATATATATCATTCCATTGATCCTAACAAAGTTCTTATGCCTTCTTCAATCAGGTAGCACACACTTGCACAATGCCAATGTACCCTCTTCAATCAATTTGTAATTGGTCCAGAGTATACTACTTAGAGTTGTACAAGATTGTCAAATGTATACATAGTTATATATATGTATATGTATATATATCTATATATATGTATATATATATAGTTCTCTGTGAACACTTGAAAGAGATTTCCGTGGTTTTTCGTTGGTCTGTTCGACAATTTGATTCGTTGTTGAGGTTAAAAACTTTGGCAACTTTTGGGCTTGTGGCCAGAAATTGTGGAACTGTCTTAAGTTTTCGCAGCGATGCGATGCGATGCGATGCTGTCTCCGGCTGTGACGGCAGCTGTGTGGGCGAGCTTGTGGGCGTGCCGGCTGTGACTTGAGGAGTTTGGCACAGACAACGTTTTCATTGCCACAGACCGAGAGCGAGCGCGCGAGCGAGAAAGAGAGAGTGAGAGCGAGAGCGAGAAAGGAAGTAATTAAAACACAACTCAAAGGACATTTTAATTTAATCCCTTTGAGCTTGTCTCGCTGCTGTCTCGTCGCCATCAGAAACATGCGCCGACCGCCAATGCCCGAAATTTTATTTGCACGCCGGAAGACGGCGTCGATGTGGAGCAGCCAGTGCCAGCCAGCCAGCCAGCCAGTCAGCCAGTCAAGCGGCCAGCCACCCACATAGTCACAGTCACATCCTGCCGACTGCCGCCTGCCGCCTGGCTGCTGAACAGAGTCCTTTAGCTTTGGCTGCAGCGGCGCATAAATCATAACGCGCCTTCTATTTTTATTTTGCTTGGCTTCGAAAGCCAGTGTCCTGCTGCTGCGGCTGCTGCTTCTTACATTTTATTTATGCCGACAGTTTATTAACGCTGCAAGGACGACCAGCCTCAGTCTCCAGTTGCAAACTGTAAAGCTTTGCTTGACTTGTAATTGTATTTGTTTATGGTTATGTGGGTGTGCGTGCATGTGTGTCCTCTCTCTCCCGCTCTCCCTCTCTCTCTCTCTCTCTCTCTCTCTCTCTCTGTCTCTCTCACTAGTTGTGCTGCTCATTTTAATGGCGCAACTTTTGATTTGCGCCCACAAGCCAAGCTGGAAGCTGTTGCTGTGCCCAGACTCCGGAAGCCTCAAATAGTCACACAGACGCACAGACACACAGACACACACATGCAGCAAGTAACTAGGTTGCCAGCACCACTTGGCTTCGTTCCACACACCAACTCACACTCACACACACACACACATATACATACATATACCTCTCACTATTACAAGCAACCCCTTTGCCCAGCGTTCGGTACGCTTTGTTGCTTGTTATGCTAATTAGTTTTCGACGTTGACGTTTGCCAACAACGCCGGACGACAGCGCCGCTGCCAACGATGTCTTTAATTGGTTCTCATGTTGCCCATCGCCCAGGCTCCACTAGACCACCCACCGCAACCGCCCACCTCCTGCAGGCCAACCCCAAACTCTCTGGCATCTAGCAGCTAGCATCTTTCGACTCTGTGCTGCAGCTGCCACATGCCACTTGGCACTTGCAACTGCAGTCGCCGATGCCGACGCCGACGCCGACGCCGCTGCTGCCTCTTTTTTTTTTTCTTGCCACTTTGGCACTGGCAATTAAGTGCAAACTGCATGCAACTTATTTGATTTGCCATTGTTAGCAAAGCAGCCGCAATTTGAGACCGGCTGCCCCCTCCAACGCCCCGCGCCTCGGGCTAGCGAGCCGCCCGAAAAAGTGTTGCAGCTGTTTCCGCCAACCGAATGCAAATTGTGTGTGAGCCATAAGGTCGGACAGCCAACTATATCAACTGCTCTTTAAGTAGCTTGAAAGCGGTAAGACCTGCACATCAACCAGTTGAGCATTATAAGAAACTCGTGGAGACCTGATCCGAGAAGATAATGAAGACAATAAAGAATAGCGAAGATAGATGGATTAGAGATAGAAGATGGAAGATGAAACAGAACAGAAGGTATAATATACAAGATAAAAGGTACAAGATACAAGGTACAAGGTACAAGATACAAGGTACAAGGTACAAGATACAAGATACAAGATACAAGATACAAGATACAAGATACAAGATACAAGATACAAGATACAAGATACAAGATACAAGATACAAGATACAAGATACAAGATACAAGATACACGATACAAGATACAAGATACAAGATACAAGATACAAGATACAAGATACAAGATACAAGATACAAGATACAAGATACAAGATACAAGATACAAGATACAAGATACAAGATACAAGATACAAGATACAAGATACAAGATACAAGATACAAGATACAAGATACAAGATACAAGATACAAGATACAAGATATAAGAGATAGAAAGCAGAAGATAGAAGATAGAAGCTAGATGAGATTCTCTTAACTAAACAGATAATCTTGATTTTCAATTGAAATTTTCAATACAAATATAATCATAGTTTTATAGGACACACACACACAAGGAATGCAAAAGAGAGATAGAGAGAGAAAGATAGATAGAGAGAGAGAGAGAGAGGCAGATATAGAAATAGTGAGAGAACATCTGTTACTCATTCTGTTTTGTGGTTTTGTGGGTTAGAATGCATTTCTAAAATGCATTTCGATTTTCAAATTCAAGCTCAGCTCTCGATTCGCTCAATGTATTCCTGAGTAAAGAGGCCCCCGGTAGCCTCGGCGTCCCCCTTTGGAGCTGCAGCTGCTAACCCGCAGTTGTGTTTTGTTGTGTTGCCCAAAACTGTCAACATTTGCAGCCGGTCAGGCTGGCAGGCCTGGCTGTCCAGTGCAAACGTTATGATAATCACCGACAACGATGCGGCGTCAGCATCGGCCGAGGGACCAATGGGATAACGGCACAGCGAACTTCATCTGGTGCGGGTTCAGGTAATAAACAATTCCATTTACCGACAGCTGTCAGCAAATAATGAAAAATTTAATAAAAAGATACGCACACATGAACGCACGAGCGCAAGGACGAGCGCTGGACGCAGGACATCAGTCTGATGCTGATGACCACAGTGAAACCATCCGGCCTGTCCACAAACTGTCCAAATATGTGTTGGTTTTGTTGCCGTTCGCACAGTGCCAAGTGAATTGTCTGCATCGAAACGAAACGAAACGGAGTGGATTGGAATGGAATGGAATCGGAACGGCATCGCCATCGCCGGGCGCAATGATGAGCGAAAAATTGACATGCATGTAATTAGTGACATAAGGACATCTGCATCTGCATCTGGATCGCTATATGCCAACGACTGCTGTTTGCCTGATGACCTCCACACACACACACACTCACACACACATAGGTATACATACATGCATGCATACGTATATCAATTATGCCGTTTACGTCCTCGCTAACAGCCAACTCTGACTTTTCGTTTGGGTAAAAATTAATTTTCGGTTAAGCAATCTGAAATCTATAACGAACTCACAAGCACCTACAATCGAAATGAAAATGTTTCATTCCAGCATTCCAAAGTACTAAAGGAGCTCATATTGAATGCATTTAATCACGCATCACTTCAGATCATTTGATATCATGTGATATTCATTAATTGTTTCATTTCAGCGTTCCATTTTTGTGTTCCATTTCTATAATACTCTACTATTTGCATTGTTTTTTATATTATTTAGCAATAAAGAAATTCATGACTTAATATGCTGTTCCATTCCAGCATTCCATGTTATATACATGTTCCATTTCCGCACAGCTCAAGATCAATTTTTGGTCAGATATCAAGATATTTTTTTCATCAATCATCTCATATTTTGCGGTATACTTGAATGTTATGGAACATTTCGTTTCTCGCTCTCTCTCTCTCTCTCTCTCTCTTAGACTCACTAAATGGGATGAAATGTACGAATGCACGTAATGCCAAGGCTTATGGCCAAAGAGCTGCAACCGCACTGTGGCGTAGCGCATATCAATATTTAAGCGAAAATGATGACAGTTACAACAACAACAACAGCAGCAGCGGCAACAACAACAACAACAACAAAGGCGAGACAAAAACCAGCCGCCGCCATGTCCAACTGTCCAATGGACCACGAAACCAACAACTCAGCCCAGTTCGCCTGTCTCGTCAGCATCCGCGCTCGACGTCGACGTCGACGTCTCCGTCTCCGTCTCCGTCGCCGTCACTTGTCACATTCACGTTGACTCTTCTGACACGTCGACAAATTGTCAACAAGGCTGCCGCAGCGTTTACCCCATGAAAGAAAACCAAAGCAGAAAAAAGCAACAACAACGACAGCAACAAAATGAAAATGAAAGAAAACTCGTGGAAAAAAAATAGTGGGAGAAAATTCAGTTTCGGGCAAAGGTGCAGGGGGTAGAGTAGGGTAGCGAGCGGAGGGTGCTACGACCAAAAATGGTCATTCACCAGAGGTCGTCCTCTATTAGCTGCAGCTCCAACCAGCATTTGCACGCCGGATGACGCAACATTTTATGCCGCTCAGTGGATTTGCAACACTTAAAAGCAGCAGCAGCAGCAGCAGCAGCAGCAGCAGCAGCAGCAGGAGTAGCAGGAGTAGCAGCAGCAGAAATGACACTGGTCTAGTCCTGGCTGCAACTGGCGTTGGCGTCTGCCACATTTATCAACGCCTCGTTCAGCAGCAGCAGCAGCAGCAGCTGTAGTTGGAGCCGGGGTTAGCCGGGCAGCCGCAGCGACTGGCGCCAGTGCAGCTATTCAAGCAGCCTGCCTATAAAAATGTGCAGTTTGAATTTTGCTCGCTGTTTGCTGCTGCTGCTGCTGCTGCTGCTGCGAAAAATGCAATTCAGCACGATTTGCATTTTCCGGACGAAAGGCGCAGGGCGCAGGGCGCAGGGGTCGGTGCTGCACTACAATGCTGTTGGCCATGAACCGCTGCCGCTACTTGGACCGCACTTCAGCAACAACTGAATGGCGCGTGCCGAGTGGAGAGCGGCGCTCCCAACTAACATTGTCCTCTAACAACGATCAATGTGCATCAACGGGATACAAAAAAAAAAAAACAATAACGAAAAATTGTTGATTAAGTCGACTATTAATGCAGATTGAAGCGAGCAATTAGTTCATTTTGCGCTTTTATCCCCCGGCTAAAGCTCCAAGTTTTTTGAAGTGCCCCTTTAACATGCATGTTAAGCCGGCAATGGCATTAACATCAACTTTCAAGCAAAAAGATATTGTTAATTAAAGTAAAGATTGGACTTTATCAATAAACTACAGTTTGAAATTGGTTGGCTTCTAGGATTCTTGATCTCAGATTTTTATTCAGAGTCTTAAATAACTTGCTTCTCCTTCTTATTGCTTCTCGTTTATAGTTTCTATTCCTAAATTCCGAGTTTCCTCTCTCTTTCTCTCCCTCTCTCTCTCTCTCGCTCTCCCTCTCTCTCTCTCTCTCTCTCTCTCTCTCTCTCTCTTTGCTCATGTGTTTCTGCAAAGTTTACATATTTTAGTTTCCAGTTAATAGTTTCAAATTTGTAGTTTCCAACATTCAGCAATAGTTTCCAGTCTCCAGTTTTATGGACTTGAGACTTGAGCATCTATTTGCCAGTCTTTAGAATTTAGATGTAATTTCTAATATCTGCCTGCCAGTTTCCAGTTTTCACTTTCTACTTTTCAGTTCCCAATGATTGCAGTTTCGACTTCCCAAACTCCAGTTTCAAGTACTTCCCATTTTCGATACTTTCCGATTTTTGCTTTCCAGTTTTTAGCTTCTGGGAATATCCAAAAATTGCAATTGTTTTCCTTTGTCTCGCACTTTTTTGTTCCTGGATAAATAATTAAGTGGACACCTTAACGGCGAGTCCTTTCGCGTCCTTTCAAGCTGGGGCCGACAGGAGGCGTCACAATATTTTATCGCGTTGCGATTCTTCGCCCGTCGCATTAATAAAAGCACAAAATGCAGGCAAATTTCCAGGCGAATGTGCTTCAAGTGCCTTTTACAGTTATACATTTTCCCGCACACACAGGCACGCAGCCTGTGTCGCTCACTCGCTGTATGCGTGTGTGTGTATGTGTGTGTGTGTGCATGCGACTCCAGGCATGCCACACGGCAATGGGGAAAGTGTCAAGTTAATGCCAACAACAACAGCAGCAGCAACAGAAGCAGCAGCAACAGCAACACCAATAGCAAAGGCAACACCATGGCAGACATGTCGCCTATGCCTGCCAGGGGGGGGCGTGGCAGTGAAGAGCAGCTACCCAACCATCTAATGACTGCGTTGACGTCGCATTTGCTTCGCAAAAAAACACAACACACAGTGAAATAGGTAGATAGAGATAGAGAGAGAGAGAGAGAGAGAGAGGAGAGAGCGGGGTTTAGCCAGAGAACAGTTAGTCACTTGCATAGATACAGTTAGAACTTTTTTGCACTTTGCTAAAGTTTCGGCTAGAACTCGGCAAATAGACTTGGCTGAAGAGCTGTTAGAGATTTGGTAGTTACACTAGCTAACAAAAATGAGAGAAATATTAAGGCTCCATAGCTTAAATAGTAACTGTATAATATATATATACTGCGAGGACTTGCCTTGACATCAAAAGACGTTCAATGCCAAAACTTAATCAAGAGCTATAAAAAGATCTATTCAATCGAATTTGAACTAGCAGAGAAGAACCTCTTATCTGAATTCTTGTTAGCATATATCACTCAGTATCTATGATGATCTATTCTGACTATACCATAACCTATTGAGCCAACGATTAGAGATATATAATATATAGAAGCTCAACTGCTTAGTTTGGTTAGCTTCTTTGAGGCTGCATAACAAAACCAAACTTCATTTAATACATATGTATTTGTCTATAATAGCTTCTGGTATAAATATAGTATATCTATTAAGCCATAACATACACTGTAAGAAATTAATAATAAATTATAGATATTTTGTACTCAAACATCTGGCTCAAGATATTTCAGTGCTTTACTCATAATGTTTAAGAACTCTACAAGCTATAGTTGAGCATATGACACGCAAATTTCGCTCAGTGCATGCTTAGTTTATAATGATGCTGCTGCTGTTGCTGTTGCTGCTGTAACTGTCGTTTAGTTGCTAAGACGATGCCGACAGTTGGACCCAAGTCTTTAGACAACTCAAGCGAACTGAAGTTGAGTCACGGCCCTGCACTGACAATGATATGTGCCCGAGCTGAGAGTACTAAACACATACCTACCCACACACACACACACATATATAAACAATTGCTGTCAAGGCCACACACACACACACACACAGTCACACACTCACTAACATGCATACAGGTTGCATGCAAACAGCAACAGACGTCGCTGAAGAGAGACGGAGTGAGAAGAGAGCAAAGTGTGTGCGGGCGAGAGAGAGGGAGAGAGAAATATGCTGGGTAGGATGATCACATTGGAGACACTTTGCACCGGAAATATTGTTGACAGTTGTGGCATATTATCATACGGCGGTGTCCCAGGCACGCGTCACGTAATTGCTCAACATTTGTAGCCGCCACGCACACACATGCACCCCTCACACACACAGACACCACACACACTCTCTCTCTCTCTTTCTCTCTCTCACACAGACGACAGACGAGAGTAACTCGAGAAGAAAGTGGAGCGTACTTCCACGTCGTTAGGAATGCTCCACTCATTTTGCCAATTATTGTTAGCAAAATCTCAATGGCTGAGCGTGAGTCTGGTATTTATTTAAAAGTGCTCAAGTCACAGAGACACGGGCTCTCAAGTTCCACAGTCGACATCAAAAATCATCAAAAGAAATTCTGTTTGGTTGCTTAATATTCCCATAATATTCCCTTAATATTCCCATAGCAATATGTTCTAGACAAAGCTTTTTTGTTTTAAATAGTTTTCGATATTTTGCTTATCGAATTTTATTTTAATGTTGATATACAGATTTTTCTCAAGTTTAAACTTAAAAATTTCGATAATTCGAAATGGCACGGGGATCAGTTCTTTATCGATTTACACAGAAATTCAAATTATCGAGAATATTGAGAACGAACTTCATTCGAAGGGAAAGCATTTTTTTTTCGAATTATCGAGACTCGACGGTATTATTATTATCTTTAGTATTTATTTTACTTTTTTGTTTCAAAAGAGTTGCCAAAAACTAAGAAAATAATTTGGGTAGGTAAAGCCACATACATACGTGAATCGAAAGTAATGCTACCCAGGTATATTTAAAATATTAAATAGAAGAGCGTCTAATTAGATTGTACAATAAGCAATGAAAGGCATTAGACTAAGCGAAAAAGTCGCCCCAAGGCAAAAAGTCTATTCAATTTCAGCATTCCAAACATTATATGTAGTAGGCTTGGAATCGAACTGAATCACAAGTTTCATATATGTAAACAAAATATAATTCATTTCATATCTTACAGAGCTGAAGGCAACAACAAAAATCACATTTTGTGAAAAGAAATATTTATTATCGTGAGAGGGAGAGCGCAAATTGACCGCAAGATGGCGCTCGAACAGCTTTGCGGTTTAAATAAAATGATGTTTATGAAGCCCCTTGTGGATCCCAACCTGGAGTATACCAACTTGGAGTCCACTCGCGTGTTAACCATGTTCGACAATCCCTACTCGCTGCCCGTACCGCCCTTTGACAATCCGAAGAAGCGACTGGCCAAGCTGGATAAGCAAGATAAGGACGACGCGAAGGTGGAGCTAACGCATGGCACTACCACGCTGGGCTTTAAGTACAAGGGCGGCATTATTCTGGCCGCCGACTCGCGCGCCTCCAATGGCAACTTCATCGCCTCGCAGAGCATGCGCAAAGTGGTGCAGGTGCACAAAAAGATCCTGGGCACGATTGCGGGCGGCGCCGCCGACTGCGTCTACTGGGATCGCGTGCTCACGATGGAGTGTCGCCTTCACGAGCTGACCTACCACCGTCCGCTGTCTGTTAAGTCGGTGGCGCGCATCCTGTCGAACATTGCCTACAAGCTGAGGGGGCTGGGCCTGAGCATGGGCATGATGCTGGCCGGCTACGATTTCGATGGCCCGCGACTCGTCTACGTGGACGGGGATGGATCCAGCGTCGAGGGCCATCTCTTCTCGGTTGGCAGTGGCTGCTGCTTTGCCTTGGGCATCCTGGACTCGTACTACAAGTATGATATGGAGGATGAGGAGGCCTACTGTCTGGCAATGCGCAGCATCTATCATGCCACGTATCTGGATTCGTATACGGGCGGACTTGTGCGTCTCTATCACATGAGGGAAAACGACTGGGAGACCGTCACCGTCAAGGACTGCGCCGACTTGAGGGAGATCTTCAGGCCGGTCAATCAGAATGAATCACTGGAAGAGTTTTCGAAGTTCATCAGGGAGGGATTCGTGCCGGACCCCGACGAAGACCCCGCTGTACGAAATCCTCCCCCACCGCCACCGATAGTGCCACCGAAACCGGCACCCAAGAAAAAAGAATAGATTTACAGTTTCGTATTTTTGTATTAGATAATCCAAATTGTTAAATAGATAAAGCTGTGCGGAAAACAAACAATAAAGATGTCATAGGCATAGGCATACACCTATTAGGTTTGCGACTTTCCATTATTGTTTTAATACATTAAACGAATTGTACAGTCAATGGGCAAGGTGTGTAAACTTTATATATTTTAGAGACTTTCTAAGTCCCTTATAGAATTTAATATGCATAGCTTCTAAATTATTTTCCCTCCGATATTTTTCTAAACTTAAGAATAAAATGTTCCCGTATTTTATATAGATTTTTAAAACTAATAAATATGAGTATATCAATAACTAGATTTCTGCAAGCTTCTAAAACCCACACGTATTCAAAGCTTCCGAGCAAAGCTTTTCCATTCCTATGTTGTCGCTTGCTTGGCTTAGACAAAGCTCAGCAGCAGCTGGCAGAACCAACAGTTGCGCTTCTGCGCCATCTGGCGGCAAGCGTGGGTATGGTTGAAGTCTGCGCTAAACTCGAATGCAAAGCACACAAATTCAAATAGCAGGGAAATTTACGCAGAGGATTTTCTCGTCAAAGTGCCCTTGTGCTGTCAAGTCGAGCTGTTTACACTAGCAACCCAGACAGTTGACACTTGACGAGTCATTTACAACAAATATACAAAAAGTTATATATTTATATAAAAAAAATATATATATTTAAAAATAGATAACAAGCGGGATCGATCAAACCAACAGCAGGAAGAAGCAGCAATTTGGAGGCAGCAGCAAACATCGAACATACTTGCACGAATCATACAAGCATACACATTGAACACATATCGTGAGAAAGATGTCGATACCGAGCCGACAGGGCCTCATATTGGATACGCTCAAGCACAAGATCCAGTTGGCCAAGAATGATCTGGACCGCTATAAGGAGGACTACAGCCGCTGCCAGGCGATGCTGCAGCGCGAGGTAAATCGTCGCAGCCAATTGGAGGAGAGCTTCATGGAGCTGCAGCACCGCAACGTGCAGCTGGAGGATGAGCTGAAGCTGGCCCTGAATCATGCCGCCAGCCATCAGCTGATGGTGCAGGAGGCGCGCGACGCCCTCAACGAGAGCGATCGGTTGCGCAAGGCGCTGGAGCAGCGCGACCAGCTGCAGTCGGAGAAGATCGAGCTGCTCGTCTGGGAGCTGTCAAAGATGGAGCGCCAGGCGAAGGAGGCCGACCGCACGGCCCAGCAAAACGGCCAGCGTGCCGAGCAGCTCAACCGCCGTCTGACGCGCAGCGAACAGCAACTGGAGGCGAGCCGGGCCAGCCAGGCGCTGCTGCAGTCCGAGCTGGATGCGGCCGCCCAGAATTTGCACTGCGTGGAGCGGGCATTCGAGCACTCGTCCCAGCAGATGCAGAACTACGATCGCCAGGTGGCCAAGCTGAAGCAGCAGCTTCAGGAGAGCGAACGGCGCGCTGAGCTGGCCGAGCTGAATGCCGAGCAGCTGCAGCTCACCTCCGTCAAGCTGGAGCGGCGTCTCGAGGAGCGCTTCGATCATCGCTTGCGCCAGAAGCTAAACAATCTGGACCTGCAGCTCGTTGCCAAAGAACATGCTTAAATTCGAGCTCCCCAACACACACACACACACACATTCACACGCACGTCTCGTCCCCAAATTCTACAAGTTTAGTTTAGCACTCGACTATCGCTTCGATAATATGTTTTACGATATATTTTAGGTTTTACAACAATCAAACATTTCAACAAGAAAAAAAGAAAATGAAAAAAAAAGAATATATAAAAAATTCAAAAAGTACACCAAAGAGACTTTTTTTTCCTACTCTAGACAATCTTAAGCTCAGCTATCAACTACTTTCCCTACGCTAATAACCCAATTTGAGCTATCGATATGATTTATCGATCAATCATATTCAAAATTTACTTTAGATTTGAGCTTCGTTAAAAAGCTCCGTGTTAAAAGAGTTATTTAAGAATTATCTGCTATTTATAGGAATATTTGAGAGCTCCTCTCTCATTTTTTCTAATGGAAAATTGAATTCAAATCGGAGCTGCTTAAATTAAAACTGAAATTCTTTAAATATTTTCAGCATTAATTTTAGCAGCTGAAAGTAATTTTAAATATTTATGAACCGAAAATTGATTATATTATATAAATAGATTATAAATTCATAGAAAAGAAAATTGTTGTTACATATTAAAAATAGTTCAATATCTTCTTATATTTTCTTAAAAAAAAAAAAAAATGTTATAAAAGCAAATAGAAAATGGTTTTCTTAACAATTGTCGCCATGCAATATTTGATTGTTAAGCAACTACATCTAAGCTTATATAAGAAATATTTAAAATATAAAAAAATATATAAGAAACATATATATAATGGTAAAAAATAAAGCAAATTGGAGTTGGCTTCCCGCTTGCTGCCCCACAATCGATATCCGCTGGAATATGGAGTATTAGCTTATTGCACTATGAACTATGAACTCTTTCGTGGCTGTATTTGGAAGAGTATCTGGTCGGCGTTGCGGAACTTCAGCGAAATGCCCTCGACGAACTGCAGCTCCTCCAGTTGCTGATCGCTGCTGAAATCGAAGTTGGCTATCAGCTTGACCAGGAAGACCTTCATGATGAAGAAGCTATAGCGACGACCTGGCGAATATATAAAAATATTAATAATAGTAATAATAATAATAATAATAATAAATAAGTATAATTCAGGAATATCTCATTGCAATCAGATCTAATTAGATCTCTTTACCTATGCAGGTGCGCAGACCCTTGGAGAAGGGCAGAAAGCTATAGGAATGCCGGCGTGTCGGGGTGTACTTGGACTGGCCGTGCAGCACTTGCTCCTGCTCCAGTTCCTCCTCCTTCTGCAGCAGCTCCTGCTGCTGTTGCAGAAAGCGCTGTGGCTCGAACTGGGTCGCCTTCTCGCCCCACCAGGCGGTGTCACGCTGCATGCTGAACGTGTCCAGCACAATGATCGTGTTCTGCGGCACGATGGCATCGCGGCCCGCCAGCTGAAAGTCACGACTCACGTGCCGCAGATTCATCGGCACCGTCGCCAGCAGACGCAGCGCCTCGTTCACAAATGCATCCAGGTAGCGCAGCTGCTGCAGGTGCTCCACGCTCACGTAGCTGACGTCGTTGCCATGCGGCATCACGCTCTCGATCTCCGCGCGCAGGCGCTGCTGGCAGTCGCCCTTGTGCGTGGCCAGGCAGAGCAGCGCGATCATAATGCTATTCGAGACGGTCTCAAAGGACTGCAAGGAGAAGAAGGAGAGCAGAGCGAGCATAAGAGAAAGAGATAAAGATCTAAGTAATGAAAGAGATTTAAGATACAGCTTTATAAATTTAAAGCTTTCGATTTCGTATACCCTATAATGATATATAATATTGAAATCTGTATAGAAGAGGAAATAGTACACAAATAAGAAGGAGATGGAGAAGGAGGGGAACGATAGGGAGACGAATAAAGATGGAGAAAAGTCGATATAGAGAGAGTGAGTATAAGAGATAGATGCACTAAAAAAGGAAGAAATAGAAAAAGAAAGTGTAAATAAAAGAGAGAAAGACAATTATATATGCATAAATGAATATTTAGATAGAGAGAAATAGAGAGAGAGAGAGAGAAGGCTTTATAAATATGGAAAAGTTATTATAGTAAAGGAATGAAAAACAGATAGAGATATAAATAGATATTGGTGATGGATGAGCATGAGTATGAAAATTTGAGCCATAAGCTGAGATTCATCTATACAGGGTATATTCTATTCTACACTACATGCAAAATATGAAATATAATATATAATGAAACAAGAATATTTATATACTTTGTGAGGTCGAAAATACAGATAGTATTAGAAGATGATCCAACTCGAGTTCAGTTCTGATTGGATCTACAAGTGCTTAAGCATGCAATTTGCTTTAATTGAAAACTAGATTTTGGAATTGCCAATTAGTGGTAATTGGTGGTAGGCAAACATGATCGCATAGCAAATGAATAGATAAGCTGCAGTTCGCTGAAATCTCAATTCATAATTCTTCGTTAGCAGAACAGGAATTGGGGCGGGGTTACGGTGTTCGGGCTTTGGGCTTTGGGTTTCGGGTCCATCAATTCATAAGCGAAAACCTTAATGGGACTCGTTAACGTCGGCCACTTACCACCAGGACCATGGACTGGGCCTCATCCTCGATGTCCTGCAGGGTGAGCTCACCGTTGGCGGCCAGCTGAAACATTTGCTCGATGAAGATGCGACGCTGCCAGGGCGCATCCTCCCCGTTGTCGAGGGCGTTGCGTAGCTGCCAATTGCGATGCTTGCGCTGCACGATTTCTGCCACAAAGTCGACGAGCAGCTGGTTGCATGCCGCGGCCTCCGCGTACAGCTGCGGCTCCAAAAGCCGATGCAGTAAATCGATTTGCAGCCAGGGCTTGACAATTTTAATAGCCGAGATTTCAAGTAGCCTATTAAAAGGGGGGGTGGCAGGGAGAGTGAGAAAGAGAGACAGGGAGAGAGAGAGAGAGAGAACTTAGTGTGAGCTGATTGAGCTGCAGGCACTGGCGGCCTCGCTCACCTTTTGTAGGTGGTGGCGATGTGTGCGTCATCCGCCTGCGTGAAATTCGTCGGCGTTCCCATAATGGTGACTGCAATAAAAGTTAACGAGGTGTTAAGCCACAGACAGAGACAGCGATAGCAAGAGACAGAGAGAGAGAGAGAGAGAGAGAGTGAGTGAGTGAGGGAGTGAGTGAGTGAGAGGGAGGCGGCGACAGCATGTGTGACATTCAAATATTTCCAGGCGACAGCAGCCAAGGCATAAGCCATAATTCGTGCGCAGCCTTTGAGCTCCTTTTGCTCAGCTCAGCTGCCAGTTTGGCTGCCTGTTTGCCCTCCCCCCTCCCTAGCCAGCTGCTAATGGGCAGCGCTAACTGTTTTAGCCCAGCAAATTCTCAATTCTCATGTAATTGCATTTGGCCTTCAAATTGCTGCCGAGGCGCCAATGCCTCGCGGCTAGAGGTGTCCCAGCTAACGGTATTTGCTAATGGAATATGTCACTTCAAATAGCTGGCAAATGATCAAAGCGAATTATTGTGGCGCCATCCATAATGATTTACCGTTGCCAAGCCACAAAAAATTTACATTTGCTCACTGAATTTCTGCTCATAATTGCGAAAAAAAACGGAGCTAAATGAATAATCTATCAAAGCTGTTTAGACTTAAACTTATGAAATGTGAATTAACTGGGCTAAGTTGACAGTTAGTTGACTACAAATTGAGTTACAATAGGCTAGGTCTTTGTCTTCTTAGAGATCTAGAGAGATGACAAAAACCAATACCAAGTAACTTCCAGGCTACCCAGATAACTCTTAGAGATACTGAGGAATTTTGGAGTCTGACCAGCTCTAGTCAGTAATAACTCTTACTTATAATATAGGCGGTCTTCAAAATGAGATTAACGACTTTCACTTTTTACAGAGCATTCACAAATCATTCTATGATACTCTAACTATTATTCATCGTTCTACTCACGCTTATGTGATATACAGTGTATTTTCTAGTTATTCTAGTTAGTTACTTATCCTAGAGTAAATTTATTATATACTATATCATTTTCGAGCTAAAACACTCGTATTTCTATACGATATCTTCCAATTGCTCTGGACTACATTCTTAGCAACTCATATTCGAGCTAAAAACACTCTACAGGATATCTTCCAGTAGAAGTCTGTTTCTTGTTATAGGATATCAAAGCTCACCGCAATATAAATATTCACTCGAGTCTGTTGTTTATTATAGGGTATATAGGATATATGCCACTTCTACTTCTCACCTACTTGTTGTAGGATAGCTCACAGTATAACTAAGGCTATCTTTTTTTATAGACTAGTTAGACTTACTATAAAATATATCAGAATAGACTCTTTCTCTCTACTCGTACTCTTTTAATATAATATGTTTAAGATTTCTTGCTTTTTATAGGGTGTTTCGTAGTCAAGCTACAGTACTCTTATATGTGACGTCTTATAGACCAAGTAGGATAAACTGACAAATCGTAGGGTACGTCTACAACGGGTATAGGTATAGGGTATAGGGTATCTCCATAGCAGACTAGATTACTTTCACTTTACATAGGGTAGAATGCTTTGCCTCACTGAAGTGTATCGTAGGTATAGCTCATATATAGGGTATCAGTAAGACAAACTATCTATATTTTATAATTATATATTTATAAGGATGCTAACTATAATCGAGCAAGATAGCTGGTTCCTCTATAGGGTATCTCCTGACAAACTTCAACACCTTAACCAATCATCAGATATCTCCCCACAAAAGACCTCCCCACTGATAGGGTATACATCCAAACACCCCATCGAAGTGAGCATTTGGAAATCCCTTATGCCGAATGCATACCGAATCATAGCAGATTTTCGTGCTAATGCAGACGCATTCGATGGCCAATCGACTGGTTTCTGCATAAGACTAATCATAATTTATCGGCATATCGATGCCCCGGCACGCCCCCGCAACGCTTCTTGCGTGCAGCTAAGACTCGCTGCTGACCCTCGAGTCTATGTGGCTCTGTCTCAATGGGTTCCGCGTA